CATTTACAGTCACGGACTACAGCGCAGTGCGCGTGGCTCTGGGGTTAATCAAGTTTAGTTGTTTCTCTTTGCAACAATCTTCACAAGAAGGCAAAACAGTTAAATGACAGGTTACAGATATTTCCATTTGACTGTTTATTTTGACGGATAAACTCAAGGATGTTGGTTGATTTCCTCCCACTGAAGCGGTCTGGAAACTCGGTCTCTCTGAGGGATGTGTCACTTGGAAAAATGTTATTTTTATGAAATTATGAAAGTTTGGCTGAATAGCGCTTGTTCCCGTCTCTAATATGGAGACGCATGACGCATCCAGTCGCCTCTTCAGCTCAGAAAGCACCTGTAGAGACATTTGATCACGCACAAAGTTTATGTGGAGCAGAAGCGGTCGGGCTACGGCAGGTGAAATGTTCCTGGCCTACATGAAGTGAAACTGTTTAATTGTAACATTAATATGTTACTGGACACACTGGTCTGGTTGGTTAGACCAGTGTTGGAAGTGGAAAACACACACACACACACACACACACACACACACACACACACACACACACACACCAATTAACATAATGCTGATAGCGTGGACTAGAAGACAGGTGATGGTTTACGTATTTAAATGATGATCAGGCTGCTGTAAAATGTAATCTCCATCCACATCCAGACACAATTATCCTCTATTCTGTCTCTATTTGCTCTGCTCTTGTCTGGGCTGACAGCTGACGGTGCGCGCAGTGCGCCTAGTGGCTGTGATGCACATTTTACGCATTTGGAGAGGTGGGCTGGATGCTTTGCTTTCACTGGAAGATGGTCCACTTAACGCACGGGTGTAGACTACATATTAATGACAAATGAATGAAAATTAAATTGTGAGTTTTTACTTCATATTTTAGAAATAAAAATGACGGGGGAAAACATTTATGACATCTTTTTAAACGAAATTTTCTAGCGCGACCTGCCTGCTTCACTTAAGTCACTGCTTATTAAGGTCCGTCCAAAATTACCGTGGCCCACCCAAAAATGAAAACCTGGCGCTGCGCCAGTTATAAACCTCTGCAAATTATTGTTCTTCACTTTATCAAACTCAGACTTTGTACAGCTAATGTCAAGATGTAAAATTATGAATTCAGTCGAGCTCTTCCGTCCCTCCCTCTCCTGCTCTCCTGGAAACCCGACATCAGCTGTCAGAAGCGGGAGGTGAAGAAGGAGATGAGGCAAACAGAGTGAGTGCGACCTAAAGAAACCAGACTGGTGTGGAGGTGAGCAAAACAGAAGGAAAATTGTGGGTGTTGAATCCCCCACGGGTGCGACGCCCATGCGAGCGACCGGTACCGGCTGCTGTCACCTGGTTGTGAGCAGCTCTCTGCTGTCTGAGGGTAGGCCCCGCCCACAACGCCGCGGCTACTGCGGTGTTTTCTTTACTGTGGGAAATGGGTAATAATGGCTCTTTGATGGGAACAGGTTGCCGACCCCTGGTATAAGATCTGAGCTGGTAAAACAAAAATCCTCATCAGCAGGCTTTTTTGAAAGTGGGGGGGACACAGCTGCCAATCACAAATTTTGCCGGGGACATGTCCCCGGCGTCCCCGGTTAAAATGACGCCTATGCCTTTCGCTGGTGTTGTATCCAGTAATGAGAAGAATCAGCCAGCTGCACCTGTGATATTAACTTTAACTGTGTGTCAACATTCCTACTTGTGGTCTGTTCTGTTAGTCTCATTTAACGGACAGCTGGAGGAGGAAGAGGGCTTAAATGGTCTTCAAAGAAACTCACTGCCATAATAATCTAAGGCTCTATTGTCAGCTTTGTTTTATTTTAGACTTCACACGTTGCATTAACAAGGTCACGTCATTTCAGTGAAAAGAAGGTGAAAACCTTTTATATAGAAGCTGTAGCTTGTGCCAGTTTCAACAGTTTGTTTTTGTGGTCTGATTATTAAAGGCTATTACAAACAGTTGGGGTCAAGTGGATCAAAGCCATCCATACCACCCAAATGCCCGTTAAAGCCCAGCATATAAAACAAACTGCCTTTCAAATGAGCTTCCAGCTTATTCTTGTTTAGTGCAACATATGCATGGGAGTATACAACGGTACGAGCCACCTTTGTGACGCAACTCTCCCAGGCATGTATTTTTCATTCAGGTGTGGTGGATGGGCAATCGATAGAAGAGCTGGGAATGGCTAAAGTTAAACAAACTTAAATGCTTAAATGGAGGAATTAATATGATCATTTTTGTTCCAGCTTAGGCTGTGTGCTAACTGCAGATGGAAAACAGAAATTTGCAGAAACTTTGCCGAAGTTCAGATTTACCAGCTCTCCTCCACTGATCAGGTTTGATCGGACCACGCCCACTTGCACCATCAGAATTCTGGCTAGCATGACTCAAATATAACATTTTCTTATGGTTCTTGTAGCACGTTAACCCTCTCAGGCTCAAAATCAGTTTTGATAAAAGGACGAACAACTAAGTCCCTCAGGGATACTTCTGAGTTTAAAAATGCTCGTGAAATACGTATGTGGAGTAACCAGGTAGGTAGGTGTTAACGTTGCAAATCGGTGATGCCTGCCTCCAGAGGGTTAACCTTTTAGACTTGGTGTACACTCTTTTCTCTGTACAGACTACTCATCAACAATCTGTTTCAATTCACTGTTTTATCACACTTAATGAGAATCGCTCTGAGTAAATTGACACCGTCGTGGTGAAGTTCCCCGGAGAATTGCAGTTTCTGAAATACTCAAACGATCCTGTGCACCAAGACTCCCGACACAATTTTATATTCTGCATTGCTGCATTGTGATTGGCTATGAGGATGAAAGCATGCACTGGGAGATTTGCTGCTATGAGCTGATTCATAACTCGTTTTTTAAGTTTTAGTTTCGGAATTCAGTGGCTTGTTGGATCTGGTTAATCCATTGATTGTTTTTAGAGATCTGCAGAACAACACCAGTTATTATTATGATTTTTTTATAATGTCAGTGGCAGTGTTGTGCCCAAACGCATTCATTTAACTATTGTTCATGAATTTGTTCATTTTTTTCGTGAACTTGAACTGAACTTGTTTGTATTTTGCCTGACGAACGTAAAAGTTCGTCTTGGCATGCGTGAACGGGTTTATGAACGCGTTCTTTCGCCGTTCTGGATCTAGATCTCCACAGAGCTTTTCCGGAGCTAAAGCCTAGCTAAAACATCCGGCCAGCACTAGCAGTTGGTACTCTTCTACGTCTATGCTGTGTGCAGGAGTCAAAGTTCATTCAGAAAAATTGAAAAGGGACTTAACTGAAACAGTATACATTTTTTTTTATGTTTTGCACTTTTAATATTGCACTTTGAGTTTGCCGCCTCAGCCTGGTTCCTAAGATTGTTTAATAATTTCCCATTAAAATAAAGTTTTCCTCATGTTATTGAGAATATCCTGTAGGGTAACAACTGCTGCTGGGTATGAGTGTGGACTGAACGGGTGCCAACTTTTGGAAAATTATTTCATAAGACACACACACTCACACACACACACACACACACACACACATAAAAGAACTATGAACCAGTTCGTTTTTGAAACAGTGAACTTAGTTCAAAACTTTTTTTTAATTATGAACTAAGAAACAAACTAGTTTATTTTAAAATGCATGACCTGAACGTTGTTCGTTTTTTAAACAAACTTTCCCAACACTGGTCAGTGGGGGGCAGGGGACTTTTGACTCAAGTATTGAGAAACGACCTATCCATCCATTTTCCTTACCCACTTATCCTCGCAGCTATCTCCAGCAGTCCTGACAGTCATGTTTTTGGACTGTGGGAGGAAGCCCGAGTACCCAGAGAGAGCCCACACGGAGAACATGCAAACTCCATGCAGAAAGACCCCAGGTTTGGATTCGAACCCAAGATCTTCTTGTTGCAAGGCAACAACGCTAACCCCCTTGAGAAACTAATAATCCAAAAATAATACTGCAAAGAGAACAAAAAACATTCTAAACACCACCATTTTCTTTTTTCTGGATCTTAATAATCCTTTCAATTAATTTATATGTACTTTCAAAAATTTTAATTTTTGAAAAGAAATGTATTGCAAATGATCACCCACGATTTCTGCCATGAAACGCTGACTAAGTGTTCTAATCAAGATTTTTACAGGCGAAGGACAGACGGGATGTGCAAAACGAGGATGAAAAGCCAGACAGGGGGGGAAAAATGCTCAGAAACCATTTTAATACAGAGGAAACTGTTTTTCCAACATATGATCACTATAGCTACTCAAAACAATGAGCAGAAGCTTCCATAACGCAAAGGCAAACTTTCTTGCAGCATATATGTCACGTGACTGCCTTTCCTTCTTCTAAGTTTTATCCCATTTATTTCTGGATCAAAAGACAAACAACCCATCTGTCACTATACACAGTACACACGTGCCTCATCTTACAAAGAAACACATTATCTATGTGAATAAAATGCAGTACATTAAGGGGAAGAGCTGACCTACAAGTCAGGATGGTCGTGTCGCTACTGTGAGTTTAATTAACGAAATTATCTGCTGACATAACGTGATACCACATTCATCAGCATGGTTGAAAGCTTTGTCACTCTTTATATTGCATTGCTTCATTAAATAATCATAAGGGTGAGAAAAAATACAGTTGTATATGTTCGGGGCAAATTCACACAATTGTGCAGGATCTTGCAACATCAGTTAGTCAATAAAAACACAAATTGATAACTAATATTACATCACATTTTAGATCAATTTCTTTAAAATGAATCAAGTCAATTTCAGTTTGCTAATGTTGATTACATGTGGTGGTAATTTTGAATTGGATCGACTCAAAATGTTAATTAGCTGTAAACCTACTTTAAATGGATTTAAATAGGATTCTCCCAGTGGTTCGACAGGCAATTTTCAAACAGGCAACCTTTAAACACACACACACACCTAACTTTAGCCTTTCGGTGAATGTGAAAATGGACTAAACATGTTTCAATGTTGTCAAATAATAACACATGGAGACACAGTCATGTACTCATTTTGTTTTATTTATTTATTACCTAAAAAAAGAAAATGTTCTATCACAAGTCACACTGAAATGTATTGCTTAAGAAAAAAAATATATTCATATATTTTTTCTTTTTTCCTATTTTTTTCCAACTTTTTCCATTTTTATTTTTTGGAAACAGTTGTTTTTCCTGTTTCCATTATTTTCCACCAAAAAACAAACAAAAATAAAACGTTTTTTTTTTCAGACACAAGCATAAAGCTGCAGCTGCAACATTCTCCCCTGAACTTTTTTTTTTTCCAAAATAAAAAATAAAACAAACAACAAAAAATAAAGCACAAAGAAATACATAATTCACAGTTACCATTTTGGTTTCATAAATTAATACAGTCACACATGTGCTACACCGGTCTAGAGCTAGAATATTGTAAATTGTATTCTTGAAACCTGTTATTTTCAATAGTTGGCTACAAGAAAGAACAGGCAACTTAAATGATGTGATCAGAATTTCACCAACATACTGTTATTTATCCTCTCTGTAATGCTTTAGTCATCTTTTTTTGTTTTGTTTCTCCTTTTTGAGTTTCACACAGAAGTGAGGCACACACAGAGTATAGTTCATACATATACAAAAGGAAATAAATAAAATTTGGGAGGGGCGTTCAGTTGTCCTTTAACTTTGTTGCATTCATGGAAACAGGAAGTGCATGTAGTCTGAAGTCCTCAGAGAACTTTGTCTTTACCATTTAAGTACTGTGGCAAAATCTTCCTCGTTTTTGTAGCTCTTTGCATCTTGCTGTTAACAGGGGACATGAGGTTCAGATGACAGACCAACAAGCGTGGCAACACAATGGAGAAACGGGACAAAGGTCATATTTGAGAATCAAATTATTTGACCCTCAAAACAAGCTTTACCCGTAAAAATCTATGACTGCCATGGTTGTGAATACTAATCATGTATATCAACCGACAGAAACTGGACTGAATCTGACACCGACACTGCAAGGGCATTTTTTAAGGCACAGAAGCCTTGACATAATAGAGACTCCACAAGCTAAAAGCACTAAACGAAATATGCCCAGTGTCCTCAGTGACAAAAACACGGCGCTGTGACGACAAATCCAACAACGATATGCACAAAAAAATAAAAAATAACAGGAAAAAAAATATTCCCATCCCCATTGTCCCCAAGTGTCTCATTTTTTTAGTGAAAGGTAAGGCCACTTAAAAAAAAAGAAGAAAAAAAAAGATGAGGTTTACCAAAAAAAGGTAATCTCTCACTGCAATTTCTGGGAGTGCAATCGTGGTAAGGTGGTCTGTCAGACAGAGTAAAGAGACCGACTAGATGCTTCACTCGGGTTTAAATCCACTGGTCGAGTCCCTGCAGGGTTTCGTCCACATGAGCCTCTGTCAGCTTTCAGGCTGGGGGGAGGAGGAGGAGGAGGAGGAGGAGGATAGGCTAAACAGTTGGTCGGCTGTCTGGGTCCTCGTGGAACACCGGGGGTTAAAAATAACAGCATTCAGGGAGTGACAAAGGGAATCTTTGCTCACCATCTTCATGTCACACAACAGGAATGGTCGGTGCTGAGCAACAACACAGATTTATGCTTCACTTCGTCGGTTTTGGTTTTGCGTTGTTCTACTTTAGCAGGACACGGTTTAACATCAAATCTTAAGTTACAAAAACCTAACCAACAATAAAGCAGCATTGTTTTTTTTCCGTCACAAATTCATGCATGTTGTTAACCTTCATTACCAAAGCACCAGTTTCATTTTTTTCTTTAATAGAAAATTTTATTTAAAAAATCTGTGTGATTTCACACTTCTGCATGCAAAGAAAAGTCGCCCGTCCCCTCGACTTGCTTTATCTATTCATGTCATTTTGTTATCCTCATTTGAAACTCCCGTGTGTAGCAGCAAAACCGTAAACAGGTCTAACCTGATATGTCAATGGATGTACTGGTGCAGGCACTAGAAAAGGATGCCACTGCTTCTCCTTCTTTACCATCACAGTCATGAGAACGAGTACATCTAAAGGGCCAAAAACTACAATTTTCATTTAGCTTTTCTTGTTTTTTAACGATGCCATTGTGTAATCTACACTTTAAACTGCAGCTGATTTCCATGGTGTGATAATATGGAGTTATTTCGGAGACAGAAACCACAGAAGAGTTTAAGATTATCTTAAAATTAGTGCCAAGCATACACACACCCTCATAAACATTTGCCAACTGTCACATTTATGTACATAAAGTCCAAATCCCTCAACAGACCATTCAAGCGTGTGCGGCATCAGCCGAGATGGATGACAACAGTCTGTTTTATTTGTTGTGGCAGCATAAAGTAATTCACAAAGGAGCTAATGGAATCGTGGAACGGATGCACATGTTTGCTGGCAGTCAACAACTTGACTAAAGTCACAGAGGGCTGCTGTTTTTACAAAACAGCAGATAGGAAGAGAAACAAAAATAGAGTTTTCTATAATATATTTTAAAGATTTTAAAATCCTCTAAAGCACTTTCTCTTAATATTTATTCATCTTGTTTATTAGTCATTCCTATCAATACCCTACGTCATTGAGGTTGGTATCACTACGTCAATACTCCTTTTACCTTTATTCCATTTCAGGCCCCGCCTCCTCCTCCTTGCACATTTTGACTAGCTGTTTAAAATCAAGATCATGTGCAAATAAACAACTACTTTGAACTGTTATATGAAAACCTGAATGCTTTGTGAACAATGCTACATATCGTTTTGTTTTTATAAAATACAATATGCTTAAAAGTGGAAAAAGAGAAAAAAAGTTTAACCACCCTGTTACAGGAAACAAACCGGACTCTGATTGGTTAGTTTGGAGAATAATAAGAATGCCCATTGGAATAGTCCACAGTTTCTGATGCTCTTGTCCCGTTCATAAAGTCCAGTGTGGATCTCTTCATTTTAGCCCAGAGTGCACTTAAAAAAAATGCTGAAAAACAAAAACAAAACTGAAAACAGCCACCACCACCCACTTAATTCTGCTATGCTGAAGTCCAGGTATGATCACTGATATCGCAGCACCCCAAACACAAGTCTTATACACTGGTGAAGCCCAGTTGTTGCCTGTCCAAACCCAAGCATCACACCACAGTTCTTTGTTATTGTTTCTGCTTCCCACAATGTCATCCGTGAAGGACAGAGAAGGATTAAGGTCTGCAGGGAGGCGCTTTTATTCATGCGACAGATAACAGTCACGAGGACAACTTTGATTTCCTTTATGCAGTTCAATCTCGCCTCCTGCCAATACACTCCCTCTGTAATATATCTCCAAATAATTCCCAAGAAATGCTCTGTGCATCTCTCAATCTTGACGTATAGGGAAATAAAGCATGTGATTCAAGCCATGACAAACTCGGACTTCAAGTCGGCCTTCACGTCGGGCTTCCACACTGAATCGTCAAAGTCCAGATCCAGAGAACCCTCGCTGGACAGGCTGCTGTTACTGTTGCTGCGCCCGGCCTTGCGGTTGGGCAGCCACTGATAAGGAGCGCGTTGGTCCCGCCTGGCCTTCCTGCGCAGGCGCTTCTGCTGCATCAACAGCTGCAGGCGTTCCACCTTGCAGCGAGTTGCTCGGTTTTCAGTCTGACGTATGCGGTCACCTGGAAGAGAGCGGAGAAAATGGTAAATATCATTTATTCACAATAAAACAATGTACAAGATGTTCATAAGTGTGTGTGGGCATTAAGAAGCAAGCTGTCGTCAAAACCTTGCAGAATTAAGGATGAAGCTTAGACGTACTGGGATCATTTCCTTTTGACCAACAGATAAAACAACATGTACTGAAGCAGACAATGGAGTCTAGTGGTTAACCTCCCCCACTGAGCTTCATTAATAGCATTTCAGTGCCACTTCACCCCTTATTACCAAGTAGGGAGACCTCTTCAGACCAGAATATCCTTGAAAACCAAAAGCAGGGCCAAAAAGATGAAATAAATAAAACCCACATGAAAGAGCTGGCGCATTCTCATAGCTGCCCATGATATCTGCAAAAGCAATTAAGCACGATGCCGTAGTGACTGGGTGTGCGCCTAAGTGCATTTCTAGCTGTTGATGTGCCTATAGGAGAGTCAAGTCTCCCGGGAGTGGTCTTACATTGCACTGCGAATGCTCTCCAACACTGGTCCAGTCGAGCCTAATTCCATTTATACATATATTCAGAGGCTTGGAAGGAAGAAAAAACAACCACAATCTATTAGCCAGCTCCATTAGTATCTGTCTGGGAATTAAATAATTAAATAATGGGTTAGAACGTCAATAAACCGAAGCACAGTGGCCATCTCTTCCTCTGCTGCATACCAGAACCCACACAGACGCGCAAATCCACATCCAACTACCACACAAAAACACATACAGTGTGAAGGGTTACATACACAGCCGTATGCAAGCATGTGCTCAAACGACACGCACACACACACACGCACACGCGCACACGCGCACACGCGCACACGCACACGCACACACACACACACACACACACACACACACACAACCAAGAGGCGCAGTAGCTTTTAACGTGGATCGATGGCAAATTAAAAAGACCTATTGATTAAACCTTAGCTCCAGTGCAGCCATCCATCTCGAGCCCAGGACAACGCTATTGGCTTTCAATAGAAAATGCAAGCGAATGGAAATTGTAAGCGATGAGAGAGAGAGACGGGCTAAAATTGTTTTTTCTTCCATTTCTTTCTTTTCTTCTCGAGCTTCCAACTCTCAGCCCATTGATTGCACCCCCTCCTTTAGCATTACACCCTTTTCACCCCTCACGCACGCAGAGAAGTCCCCCTCATCTAGCCCTCCCTCTTGCAGATCTCGCCCCACCCTCGTCTCACCAGAGACAGCAAGGTTGGTCTGTGCAAAGAAGGGGAAAGAGGGGCTGAGAGGAGGGGTATGGCAATATGGTTTAAGGAATTCTTCCCCCCGAGGAAGGAGGAGTGGGGGGCTGGGGGGAGGGGCAGAGAAAAAAGGTGGAGGGTAAAGGATCACCAGTAGGTGTCGGCTTGCAAAATCGATAATGGCCTCCTCCAACCTTCCCCTCTATCGGAATGAATTCCAGATTCTGTGTGGGCTTCGTTTACCTCTCATTTTCTTATCGAGTCGACCAGTGCCAAACCTTTTCTCCAGCTATAAATATTCACCAGGGTCTGGTACTGCAAACTAGAGTAAACTGCAGCAAAGTAGCTCAAATTCTGCTTTTATGAAAACAAAATGGATGTAAAAAGTGCCACAAGGCTATAAAAGAGATCCCTCCACTACAATCTTCCACATAAAATCACTGTAGTTTTCCACTTCCTACTAAAATGTTCAGTCCTGTGTCATCTCTAGAGAACAAGGAGGATACACAAGAAGAACCCTGCATTTCAGCGCCTTGGCACCATGCGACACTAATGCCACAAGGCTATGTTCCTACTCTGGTCCTCCTTTTTCCTCCTCAACCCCCCTTAGACCATCCAAAAGCTAACCGCCCCTCGCCTTTGTCGAAATACGGCCATACACAATGAAATGGCAGAATGCCAACGTGTGCCTAGGAACAAAATCTGTTTCTCTGGAATGATTGGTCTTTGCAGTGTCTCTCTTTATTCCACTGGGGGTGGTTCTTAGTTCTGATCTGGATTTCCAAAGTGGAACATCTACTCTCATCTCAGCAATCTACAAGAACACACTCGCATACATAAAGGGGCAGTGCAGCGGTGCAGCAGGAGGTCTTGGCCTTCGGCTTGGCAAGAGTTCTGGGAATGTGCTTGGAGCTACACCAAACTGGTGTGTGTTTATGTCCATGAGTGTGTGTAGCCATTCATCAGCGTCACTACCGGAGCCCTGGGCGGCTGGGCCGGACACAGCTGGCCACAGGGATCTCCAGACTATGTTTATGACAGTAGGGCTATTATTAGTGCTGGATAAGAAGAACAAGCTATTCACATAACACATGCACACTGACTGGCTCAGTCCAACTACACAGACAAAGGTCTGACATTAACATAATAACCTTGGAGAACCCAGAGAGGGGTGACTAAGAGACTGAAAATAAATGGGAGGAAGAGACAGACCCTATATTGGTATTGAGCTGTGTGTGACAATAAAGACAAATGAAGCAACAACATTTATTCTCTTAGAAACGGACAAGAAAAGATATCAAATATGAGATGGGTCAAGGGCAGAACGAACCACACCAAAGCTCCAAACCAGTGCACAGCTTTGCCACCTAAACTCTTCTCTTAAAAGCCTTTGAAGCAGACCTTGTAAAAAATATTAGACACTGCAAAGAAACTCAGGGGAAAACAAGCAGCCAGAGAAGGGGTGATCTATGAATAATCGATGCATCAGTCAGTTTTCCCTGTCTTTGAGCCCAGCCCAGCAACATGGAAAGGACTGAGATAAGGAGCACATGAGGGGTGGGTGGAGGAGAGAGGGGGAATGGATGGGAGGAGAGAGTGGGAGGAGTGGGAGGATGAAGGAGTAGAGACAGAGGATGGAGGGAGAGAAAAGGGGAGGAGAGCTGCAGCATGCAGGACACAGAAGGAGATTAAAGGAGCTTCTCCGTCTATTGATTGTATAAAGATTGGCCTTCATTTGCAGTTGTCTTATTGCTGTTGTTTGTTTGTCTTGATAAGTCTTGGGATCTTCCAGAGAGAACATTGTGTTTGTTCAGCATTCAGAGAACCAGGGGGGGGGGGGGGGGGGGAGTGGGAGGGGTGGCCAGAGGCAAAAAAGAGAAGGAGAATCATACTGCAGCAAAGCCATCTTTAGTTCCTTTTCATATTACCGATTGCTCAGCCGAAGCCGGTCTTTTATCAAAATGTAAAAAATAGAGCATGCTTTACTTGTTTCTAAACTGGCAATTTGAACCCAAAACAACAGACAATAACACATATTTCTTTGAACAATAAGTCTTTAGGGTCCATTACATCAACATCTCAGGAGTATGGCTCAGTGCATTCAACCATAAACCAAACAAAATCACACCCATCTGAAAATAAACAAGCTACTTGTCCACAAACTTGGAATCAAAGAAAGTACGCTCTCCACTGAGAGGCCACAGCAACCAATCAAAGCAGGGCTAACATTTTGACAGCCAGTGAAAGGGCACTGACATCCCTGCAGGGACACAAGATCTTCAATGACTTTTAGACTTCATTTGCATTCCCTCTCCTCCTCCTTTTTTTCCTCCTTGCTGACAATGAAAGGGCACCCGATGTGCTTGGCTGGCTTTTCTAGATAGCTCTGTGGTCACACCGTTTTGCTAGGGTGTGCAGTCCATGTGCATCCCAGCAAATATTGGTTTGTGATGAAAAACAAGCCAAGTCTGCTTGTGGGTGGTGTGCCATGCCTCAAACAAACAGGTGAGGGTTTAAGTACAGGACTCTATAAGGTTAAGGGCAAAGGATATCTTTCCCAATCTCAGATCTCTTTCCTTGGCTTACCCGGTCTTAGCCTTGGTGAAGCCAACGTGATCTGACAAACACAAATGAAAGCTAGTTACAGGATGAGGAAGACAAGATGTTCTTGAGAAGCTTTGAGAGGAAGCTTATACCCTTCTTTTTTGCCTGTTTTGAACTAAAGCAGCTGTGGCAAGAGTCAGGAGGAAAGGCAGCCATATAATCCAACAGATGCCTCTTCTTTTGGCTGCACAACGATTCAGCGTGGTGCCCTATAGCCCCTGTGCCCAGTGTCCACACAATGAGTTAGCTTTGGCAGGGGTCGAGGCAGCCAGACAACTGCAGGGCTGGTGGTGAGGAAGTCCATCATACTCAGTCTTTCAACTCAAATTCAAACACTAGTCCAGGTTTGACAAATCCCCTCAATTCAGCTATATTATTCAGTCAAATGAGGAAACCAAGCTAGCAGTTCAAGCCTTGTGGTTAAGCAAGTGTGCATGTGTCCATTCCAGCTTTTTATTTACACTTGTCTTCTCCACCTCAAACATGAACTTGCGCTGAAAAGGGTAAAGGATCTCAAGAGACAGCCAAGCTATATGACATTTTCAAGTGGCTGCCTTAACCCGAGTTTGGCTGTGCTCACATTTCCAGGCAGGTGAGAGGTACTTTTTTTTCCCCCAGCGGCTGAATGAAAGCAGGTTTCTGTGAAGCCGAGTTAAGATAGGGTGTCCAGTCCAGAAAGTCCTCCAACCAGTGTTGACGGATAAAAGACTTCTGGAGAGCGCTTAGTCATCAGCTTCCATGTGGAACAGGATACGTCCATTCCCCGTCTTGCTCAGCTTTACGATTCTTAGTTGGGCAGGTTACCCATTAAACATCACTGTGTGCAGATGTACATCACAAGCAGAATGTTAAGGCAGTAAACTGAGTAAATAGCAGTCGATGAGCTATTCGGTCACCCTTTAACCCCTGGTTTATAAAGTGGACTGATGGACAGGATGCAACCACCCATAGGATGAATGGAGGCTTAGTGTTGTGGTTTTAACGTCCCCCATCTTCCATCGCCTCCTCCTCTCACTGCTCAAGTCCACAAAGCCACTTCAGAGCTGCATTTTGGAATAAATCTATTTAAAGACCAAATGGACACAGACAATGTATTGATGCACAACGCAGACGTGGAAAGAAAGGGGGGTGATTAGGAGGAGGAGAGGGATGGATTTTACAGACAGGGCTGTTTTTGGACAACGAGGTTGGGGGTGGGGGTGGGGGGGTGAGGAAGGATGGGAAGTGTAGGAGAGGAGGGGAAGGGCGGGTTGCATTTGAAGGTGGGGGTAGTGAAGCAATGGTCTTCCCTGAGCTAGGAAAATAAATGTGTTATTCCAACTGTTCACTGAGTACTTCTGGGGGCAGTCAGGGTGAAGCCCTGGAATAGTGGACAGTCCCAGTGAGTTGGTGTTCAGCTATGTTTGGAACAACATTAAACATTAAGAACTGTATTTATGAGCTCTAATAAAAAGACAATTCTGGTAAATGCATGAGACTATTCGACTTCAAGTGAATGTAATAAGCCAGGAAAGAACATTTTCATTTTTCCTCACTACAGCCAGTTTGACATTCCAGCATTGACTGAATGTTATCAGTTCTGGACATCTGTCCCATGTCACCACAAGGAAAGAACATCTTAAAACACCCAAGCCCTGTCGCCAAAGTGGTATCATCTGAACACCAGCCCAGCCCAGCCCTCTAGCATGGGTATGTTGAGGTTTGTCCAGCCCACACGGTCCCAGCTGCAGCTCTTCTTTAAGATGCAGGTTAAATAACCCCAAGCCTAATCTAAACATAGCCCCACCCAGGCTTGAAGAGGTAAACCTTTCTCACTGACACTCAAACAAAGTCAACTTCGCTAAAGCCGGGCGTACACTGTGTGACTTTTTCACTCGCAGCGTTCAGCTTCAGCTCAAACTGTACGACTTCCTCGCAGAGCAGATCTCACGAGTCGTGTGCTCACACTGTACGACCCAGTTCTCGCATGCGACCTGACTGCTCACACTGTACGTCTGGTAGCAACACGTCGGCCCTAAAAATGTGCTAAAAATAGCAGTTTTTACACAACACGTCAGACTTTTTTGTCTTGCCTGTTGTTCTTCGGGAGTGCTGCAGGAGGACACACAGGGATTTATGGGGGTTGGATGAGGAAAACAAAATAAAGAAAGTGAATCTGTGTTTTATGATCAGTTTAATTTGACATGAACACGACAAACACGCTTTCTTGACAATCTTTGTGAGTAAAAAACGTGTAGAAACAAAAACGAACAGCGTGTGTTATTAGGGAAATAGCGAGCGACCGGCCGGCGTTGATGCAGGATTGCGCATGCGCCGTGAGCGGTTCTGATACTTTTTGGATCGTAGCTGCTCGCAGCTGCTCGCAGCGCCGCTTCAACAGTGCGATACCCTCACGAGGGACGAGCGAAATATTAAACACACCAGAAGTCCCTGCGACCTCACGACTGCTGATCGGCGGCTGGTCACGTGGTGTTAATCGCCTCTCGTAACCCCCTGTACACTACACGACCGCTCGGCGCAAAACTCGCCCCGATGTCGTGGCTTCTCGCACGACTGGAAAATCGGCTCAAAAAAGTGAAAAAGTCGCACAGTGTACGCCCGGCTTAACTGGCGAGGGAAGCCTGACTGAACAGGTCTTGAAAAGCTTGCATTGCATACTAAGGAGACCCCCTTCTATAGTTCTATTCATCCTTTCATTACATCAAAACCACAAGAGAGCCATGAGCATGACTACTTTTGTTCTTTAGTCTGATTATACTGTTCTTGCTTTGTAAGCATTTTAGAGATGAAAATAAGCAGTTGAAGAAATTGATGTAGAACCATCCCAACAGAACTGAGCTACCCATGATGCACTATGAAAAAGACCAATGGATTTTTCAGTAGGTTGTAAAACAGGAGCAGCACTTTGCAAAATGGTAAGGTTTGTCATTTAACAGCACCAAGGCAGTGGTGACTGCAGGAACATCTGCTTCATGAGAGTATTAGAGCTTCGAGGGACAAGGACTTAATGTACATGGGGTTTATCTCTGTGTTCTTGACATGCTTGCTTGAAAAGAAGGTGTTTGTGGAGTAGACTCACTCACCAGGGGGTTTGCACATACGGATCTGGCTCTGGCACTGCACCAGTGGATGAAGAGATGGAGGAGGGCTGCTAGAGCTGCCAGCAGGCACAGAGGTAGCTTTGGCAGAGAGGTCTGTCATACCAGCAACTGGAGGTGAAGGGGGTGGTGAGGGCGAAGGGGATGAAGGTGAACCACACTGGGCCTGGTAGCGGAGCTGGGTGAGGGAGGGGGGCATGCCTTGGTAGTGGCGTGTAGCGCTCAGGAGGTCGTTGAGGATCTGAAGGATGGTACCAATGTCACGTCTTGGACGCCCATTGCTATCCTGGCAGTTGGGGTGCAAAGTGCCTGAGAGAGGACACAGAAAATGTAAAAAATATTAGAATTTATGTATTTTTAGACTGGAAAAACATTTTTATGTCAAACACAAAAATTTCTAAAATCCGCACAGAAACAGTTGTTCAATATTTCAAATCACTTTATGAAGATTGCAAGTTGTAATGCTATCCGCTGGAAGTTCATTTGATTATTGCTTCAGTGAGCAATAAATGTTAACGGGTCGGTGTCTTCTCACCTGAAAAAGTCCCTGAGAAGACTCCGGGAGCATGGTTGACAAAGCTCTCAATGATGGCACCAGGTTTTCTTGTTCGTGGTGAGGAAGTGGTTCCACTGTTGGAGCTCGTGGGGCTGCAGTTGGCCTGAAGAGAAAAATAAAGATACGAGGGGAAATTTAGGAAAGACTTCTGAAGAAAATAATTCACTCTTGCATATATAAAGGCATAAATATGCACATGTGCATGCCTTATGTGCTCTGGAACACGCGACTGCATTCAGCATTTACAGTAGTTGGAATAACCTGAAGCCAACAGCAGAGAGAAACCAGAGAAAACAGGAAACCTGACTTTTCTACCATAACATGCAGCAGAAATAAGAGCGCTTTAAACTGTGTCTGGACAAATCTATGGACCTTCTGTGACTCCGCCTTGGCTTAACTAAGATTAGTTAACAGGCATCTGAGAGTGAAAGCAAAACCCAGCAAACATCTTAGTGTTTGTGTGTCTCATGCGTGCAGTAGCCTGATGAGAAATAGCCATTTCCTTTTTCTCCTAAATGGCCTTCTCTTTGCTTTCCTTCCTGTGAACCTCATCTCCCACAGAGTTCACTGACATTTGGGTAATTTTCACTGGGAGAAAGTGACAAGTAACCCACATAAGTGGAAACTTAAATTAACGCATAGAAAAATTAATAATCTTATGACAAATGATGGACCAAAGAAAGGCGTGACAATGTACTAGCCCACTCTGGTGCAAACCTGACTAAACCACAGGATCTCGCTCCATTAATCTAATTATTATAAGAGGGAATTATTTAGTTGTGAGCATGCCAAACAAGCCAGACACTCATAGCTCATCTTTTCATTATTCATTCACGATGGGACTAACAACCCATGATGACCTCAGTTCTTTACATACAGTCAGGTCCATAAATATTGGGACATCGACACAATGCTAACATTTTTGGCTCTATACACCACCACAATGGATATCAAATGAAATGAACAAGATGTGCTTTAACTGCAGACTGTCAGCTTTCATTTGAGGGTATTTACATCCAAATCAATGGTGAACGGTGTAGGAATCACAACAATTTGCATATGTGCCTCCCACTTGTTAAGGGACCAAAAGTAATGGGACAATTGGCTTATCAGCTGTTCCATGGCCAGGTGTGTGTTATTCCCTTATTATCCCAATTACAATGAGCAGATAAAAGGTCCAGAGTTCATTTCAAGTGTGCTATTTGCATTTGGAATCTGTTGCTGTCAACTGTCAAGATGAGATCCAAAGAGCTGTCACTATCAGTGAAGCAAGCCATCATCAGGCTGAAAAAAACAAAAGAAACCTATCAGAGAGATGGCAAAAACATTAGGCGTGGCCAAAACTACAGTTTGGAACATTCTCAAAAAGAAGGAATGCACGGGTGAGCCCAGCAACACCAAAAGACCCGGAAGACCACGGAAAACAACTGTGGTGGATGACTGAAGAATCCTTTCCCTGGTGAAGAAAACACCCTTCACAACAGTTGGCCAGATCAAGAACACTCTCCAGGATGTAGGTGCATCTGTGTCAAAGTCAACAATCAAGAGAAGACTCCACCAGTGTGAATGCAGAGGGTTCACCACAAGATGTAAACCATTGGTGAGCCCCCAAAAACAGGAAGGCCAGATTAGAGTTTGCCAAACAACATCTAAAAAAGCCTTCACGGTTCTGGAACAACATCTATGGACAGATGAGACCAAGATCAACTTGTACCAGAGTTATGGGAAGAGAAGAGTATGGAGATGGAAAGGAACTGCTCATGATCCTAAGCATACCACCTCATCAGTGAAGCATGGTGCTGGAAGTGTCATGGCGTGGGCATGTATGGCTGCCAGTGGAACCGGTTCTCTTGAATTTATTGATGATGTGACTGCTGACAAAAGCAGCACGATGAATTCTGAAGTGTTTCGGGCAACATTATCTGCTCATATTCAGCCAAATGCCTCAGAACTCATTGGACGCGCTTCACAGTGCAGATGGACAATTACCCAAAGCATACTGCAAAAGCAACCAAAGAGTTTTTGAAGGGAAACAAGTGGACTGTTTTGCAATGGCCAAGTCAATCACCTGACCTGAATCCGACTGAGCATGCATTTCACTTGCTGAAGACAGAACTGAAGGGAAAATGCCCCAGGAACAAGCAGGAACTGAAGACTGTTGCAGTAGAGGCCTGGCAGAGCATCACCAGGGATGAAACCCAACATCTGGTGATGTCTGTGTGTTCCAGACTTCAGGCTGTAATTGACTGCAAAGGATTTGCAACCAAGTATTGAAATGTACAACTTTGATTTATGGTTCTTATTCTGTCCCATTACTTTTGGTCCCTTAACAAGTGGGAGGCACATATGCAAAATGTTGTAATTCCTACACTGTTCACCTGATTTGGAAGTAAATACCCTCAAATAAAAGCTGACAGTCTGCAGTTAAAGCACATCTTGTTTCATTTGATATCCATTGTGGTGGTGTATAGAGCCAAAAATGTTAGCATTGTGTCGATGTCCCAATATTTATGGACCTGACTGTAAGTGTGAACGTAAGAGAAGCGGACTTAAAACTGGGGTCTAGACTGATAAAACCTAAATACAAATTATATGAGATGCTGCTGTAGACACTAGGAGTTTGTCTCCTCACAAATGCAAAGATGTTTATAATTCTTACCTCAGGACAAAGGACCGGAGCTACAGGGCTGGCCTGGCCGATGTCGTGGCTGGGCTGGCCTGACGAGGGCTGGTGGTAGTGGTGGTGGTGTTGGTGATGATGATGGTGATGATGAGGGGAACGGAAAAGACCTCCAGGGATGTGGGAGGGGCGCGGAGAGTGGGGCGGAGGAGTAGGGGGGCTACAATGAGCAGTAGAGGGAAACTGGTGGTACATGGGAGGGACCGGTTGGTGGTGCGTAGAGGGCAAAGGGAAGGAAGAGGAGCCTGGGGAGGAGGGGGAAGAAGGAGCAGGGAGAGGCTGTGACAAGTGGGGGCTGGGATGATTGTGTGGATGGTGGGAGTGGTGGTGGTGGGAGTGCGGGTGAGTGTGGGGGACACGGGGCTGCCCTGTGGGCTGTCCTGCAGTGGCCTCCGTGTTGCCCCGGGTGATGAGATGCCTGTGCTGGAGCTGGGGACCACCAGACTGCTGTGCCGCTAACTGGAGCTGGACGAACATCATGTGATCACCTACTCGCAGCGCCAGGGTGAGGGGAGACCGGCCGGACAGGAAGTCACTGACCTACACAGATAAAGAGAAGACGTTGGAGTAACTTCACAAATGTTCTTTTGTCAAAAGGCATGTGTTGACTTTTGTCAGGTCACGAACGCCGACTTAAAAGGTTTGCATTGTTGCACCAAAATCCCCCAAAGGTTTAAGCCTCCCCAGGGATACTGCCTTCCTTCATTTAAATGGTAGTTAAGTTGAACACAACAGTGCTTTGAGCAGACATGCCACATTAGACCATTACGCAGCCATTTAATATTCTAAAACAGTGAACTATTTGCCTGTGGATAAAGAGACCTATTGGGAAACACAAATAGAGACTACTCTTTGCTTGCATCCAACCGCCTCTGGGTCCGCTCTTACTCAGCAGTGTCATTCAGCTCAGAGACAAAGGCCACCCTTCTGTCTGGCTCGTAGCCTGAAAAATCAGTCCCACGTTCAGGAAATGCACCCCACCCGCCTCTCCAACACAGAATAGCTAATTGTCTGTGAATCTGCAACGGATCTGGAAGGGCTGCCCATTTTTGGGCCTTTGGCAATGGCTAACAAGAACTAAGTGTGGAAAACTTTGCCTACCCACTCGTGGCCCGATTGGACACACACACACACACACACACACACACACACACACACACACACACACACACACACACAGCCTAGTTGTCACGCCTTGGCTAGGATATTCACGCTAAACAACAAACATTCTTTTGTCCATCTCCTGTGGCTGCACGTTGCTGCTTGCCGATAGTCTTGTGTTATTTGTAGTTTTGCGTAAGAGTCGTTTGAAGGCCAAAATGTTCCTTTTCGTCCCAAGAACCTAGTAGTAATGATGCCGTTGAATTTGGTTTTCAAATGAATGCAAACGAGAGAAACTAGTAGCAGCAAATGCAAACTAATGCTTCCATTCTATATAAAAAAAAAAGATTCTGACAGAACCAACTGCCTGTGTGCTTTTAGCCGTCACTGGAGGGTGAGGCACATAAAATGAATAATCTACATGAAGGCTGCATCTAAGGCCAAAATATGACCGAATCAAAACAGCAAATACAAAGACAAAAGTACAACGGGCGAGTTTGATATAAATACTTCTTCCTCGCATTTCATGAGTGTCTCACTAAAGATCTTGACCAATCCTTAAAAATTGCCTGTCCCCATCTTCTATAACTTCTGTTTTCTTTCTGCTTATTTCTTCATCGACCGCCGTCTCTGTTGCCAGGGTGACCTTTGGACATGGTATTGACAAGACGTGAAAAAAAAAGATGGAAAGGGAGGACAGGCAGGTGAAAGGACGACAAGGCGAGATGTTCCAATGGCTTTAAATTAAAATGTAAATAATCAAGGCAGAACAAAATTAGCATAAAGAAGGCTGAAGGGAGAAACAGAAACACACTGACGAATTGTTTAAACAGTCCACACCCACCAAGATTACCTCGTTGTGGCAAGGCAGTAAAACTGCAGGTGTGGGTTACGGTATGAAATGAGGAGGACAGGGCAGGGTGCAGTGCGAGATGGGTCAAGGAAACTCTGTATGCAAAAGATTGCCTGATAGAGAAGGTGTGCGAGTGTGTATATGCATGAGACCCAAGGGACAGGCAGAATCTGAAGGTCGGTGGGGGGAAGGAGAGAGAGAGAGAGAAAAGGAGAATAGTAGGAGGCAGCAATGACTGTGCCAATGACTGACAGCTGTCAAGAGAATGAACCAACAGTTTGCCAAGCCTTACATGTGCACAGAGACCCCGAGGGAGACAACAAACCTGGTGTTTGTATCTGGGGATAGGGGAAGGGCTGGGTAGGAGTGAGTATCCATCTGTAAATGTAGATCTCTGACTCTCCATAAACATAATAAAAGTCCAGTTGAGAAGGGTTATTTTATATTTGGCACCAATTTGACCCAAGTAAGCATCAAGATCCATTTAATTTCTCAACATAAATTAGATTTCATCTGCAGAGGGAAATATGCATCTACTTTGCTGTATTCAGCCCTACAGAAAGTGGGAAGGACCAAATTGACCTCTGGACACATCTACATCGTGTTGGTCGTGCAAACTTGTTTTTTTTTATCCAAAAACTGCACTGAGAATAGTCTCTTTCCACAAAGATAATCTCAGATGTCATTTTACACCAAGTCTAAACAGGGACTTTGCTTTTCTTCCCTCCATTTCTCTTTTGGTGTATTTGCAAGCACAGGCAAAAGAAAGTGAGAGAAAATAGATGACAGTGAGTGACAGCAGGAGAAACAAAGAGGAGGCTTGATTACACTTATAATGACTAGTGTGGATTATTCCAAACCACCAAGATGAAATTCATGTACTCCTACTGAGCACAACACCACATGGCAGGCTTCAAATTAGCCCGTGAGGAAGGCAGCCTTTCTTCCTAGCACCTTGTTTTTTTTCTCCTTTTTCTTTTTCCTCCTCCAGACGAGTTTTGTCACTCCAAAACGCTCAGCTGTTGACTCACAAAGTCAATTTAGAAGTTGCTCACACAAGCAGTGTTAATTTTCACATGCACACGAGCTAAAAATGTGTGTAACATTGCATGCGACTCATAAGGGGTCTCCGTTGATGCATGCACCACCCACCACAACCTCAACTTCAGGCAAGAAATTGAAAGGCCACAAACCCACATAACCACACACATCATTAGCTGAGAAAAAAATGTAACTCTAAAGCCATTTGACTGGCCACGACTGTATGTAGAGGTTAGCTTTCATTTAAGAAAGAAGGAATGCTACATTAAATCTTTAGGTGTAGAAATCCTGCGCTGCAAATGTGCCGTTTCCTTGACAAAACTAAAACAGCAGAAAATAAAAATACAAGGAAATGGAAAGTCAACAGCTTGTGCGGCTGAGAGCTGTGGAGTGGAACACCTGAAATAGTTCCCGTCTCCTAAGAGAAGGAAGGAGGCGGAGGATGATACAGTGCAGCCTGCCTGCCAGAGGCTAGATTGGCAAGTGATCATGTAACAACAAGCCTTTTCCAGATGGACAGAGAATATAAGAGAAACAAGGGGAGGAATTGCGTCGGAGAGTATGTCTATGTCTGTGTGTGTGTGTGTGTATGTGTGTGTGTAAGATAGGGAGGGAGGGAGGGAGGGAGGGGGATTCTCTGGTGCTTGAGAGCTGGCTTGCAAATGATTCCCAAGGGTCTCGGCTAGCAGCTCAGCTCCAGTCCAAACATGCCTGTCTGCTCTCAACAGAGCAGCCAAGCCAGCTAATGTAGCTGGCCACCATTGATGTCAGGACAAACACCAGATACAGCTTTCTGGAACACCACAGGCAAACAAAATAGAGCTTCCTTGCGTGTCTTTAGGTCCCCCCCTCCCACTTCTTTTTTTTTTTTTTTGCTAAACCTATGGTTGTATTAGATTGTTATGAGGCCCACGAGACAGGAAAAGCAGAGGGCCCCACTGCTGTTGTGTTAAGAGAGACGGAGAGAAACCAGCCCATCGTTGTTCTCTTTCTAAAGCAGAAGCAAAGACAAGAGACGGTTCCTTCTGGGAGAAAAAGCAGGTGGATGCTTTGAGATAGAAACATGCTTGACAAGTTTATTCTAGCATACACCTTAAAATTGTGTCATGATGCTGGAAAATAAAAATAAATATATAAAAAGAGATGTTGCTGCCATCTTTTTGACCCTAGATCCATGAAAAGCTTTGTCCTATAGGCCTCGGTGTCCAGGAGGTGCCATTTTGTTTAGGAGTCTTTTGGTTGCTATGCAGTAATGAGAATATGATAAGGGGGCAGCTGGGGGAGGAGACATGAAGAGCAGAGCAGAGGGGGAGGATGGCATGAAGGAACAAGGATGGTGAAAGGGGGGTGGAGGATGCGGGCATTGGGGGTAGGGTGTCAGAGGGAAGGTGGTGTTGGTGGGTGATGAAATATTCAGCTAGAGTGTGCCTCTGGCTTCGCCTCCCCCTCCTCCTCCCCTCCTTTCGACGTCTCTGGCTGACAGTTTTATTTATTGGGGTCCCTGTGGTTCAAGGAACTCATTTGCAGTCGTTCTTCCTTTGCACACTAAGCGAAGTACGGGAGAGAGATAAGAAGTAGGGGAGGAAGAGAGTGGCTGAGAGGCTGAAGGAGGATTTGACGGAGGGGAGGGGGAGGGGGATAGAGTGTGCTGGCAGCACTGAGCTGACATTCATGAACAACTGAGCAGCTTTGTGTTGGACAAAAGAGGATAGAGGATTGGAAGGCGGGATGGAGAAGGGTGGAGGGAGGGTAAGCCACGAGAGAAGAAAGCCATCTCCTGAAGCCATATTTTTGTTCCAGTGAAGCGGCTCACCTGTCCAATAGCTAGGTGAAAGGTGCACATCAAAAAGCTGCTTATTAACCTGCAACTCGACCTAGATGTTTGATCACACCAGGACACTATAGATGGTCTCTGCGCAGACACACACAAGCTAAAATGCAATAAGAGACTCTCAAGAGAGACAAGAGGAAAAAGAAAATCAATTAATTTCACCTGGCCCCAAATCCTAAAAGCATGGGGTACGATGGGGTCCTCAAAGGGCCTATTGGACAGATAGGTGTCTGTAATATGGCCTGATAAGGAACAGACAGGCATGAGAGCCAGCTGGCCATCACAAAATTTGATCAGCAGAATAAAAAGAGAGATCTGCTTGACAAAAGTTCAGGATGATCAGGTTCCTGGAAATGGTCCTCCCCTCACTGAAACAAGACCAACAACTGGCCTGCTATTCTAAAGAGATTCACATTCAAGTCCGTCAGTCCTGAGTGCTCATGCGTGTATAACATCAGCTCAAGTTGTGCAAGCAAGGACAGAGATCTCATTCTGAATGCTTCTAAAAACCAGCTTATGAATGCAGATTCACTAGGATCACACGGTGATGGAAAACTATTTCACAACAACTTTTGCACCAAGGAAGCATGTTTGTCTTCTCACAATTGAGTGGATTGAGAAATGGGAGCAATGTGGATGGACGAGTAAAAGCTGTGGGATGAATGTGTGATGAACACATTTACTCTTCAGGCATCTTCCCTTTTCCTAACCATTTCTTCAACAAGCCTTTTGATTCCGACTCCTCTGTTTCATCTGTAGGATAATACTAACTTGACACCATTAGATATTGGTAGTGGCTATCAGGTCTGATATTCCTGGCCTCCATCCTCCCACACAGTAGCCCCACTAGTCACGATGTGTGCTACTCGAATCACAAAAGCTCTTTGCCACAGAGACGTGGACATGGAAAAACAATGACAGTCACGACTCAAACATACACAAATAAGGCTCCCCGGGCCGATCGGCGAGGGAACACACAAAGATACGGACATTAAAAATGGATGTTGGCACGTGCACACCCACATAAGCCCTCGCGACCAGATGTGTTTACACAACAGGACAATGAAATTGCCTGCAAAATCCACCCCTCTCTCTTGATTGCCCCACAACACACCTTGAATCCCTAAACCCGTTCCAGCATCTCCCGCCAACTGTGTGTTTTAAGCATCACAAAAGGGATTACACAGGTGCAAAAAAATACTGCATGATCAGCTTATTAATGCAATTTTCAAAACCAGGATTTACATGAGCGGAGACTGAATAGGCCTTTAGATCAGCTTTGTCTTTTCTGTCGTACACAATTTGATTTAGACATTCAGAAACAAATTAATTTCTGTAGCTTTCATTGATGCAACAAAGAAGGCAAATTAGCATTCTGAAGCGCAAAGACTCCATCTCTTAAGCTGGGTATAAAGAGCTTTTATTCCTATGATGGCAAGAACACAGAGAGCAGAATGCTATAAAAGGGGAGGATCTTCCCACATTGACCGCTTGACTAACTCAGTCATTTTTCAATCATTTGCACTCCAAAATCCTCAATAAAAGTACTCTCCAATGATTTACTGTAGCACCAATACCACTGATTAACTAGCATCTAGATAAGGGGGTGCACAGGCAGCAGGACTGAGAAAGGAAACATATTGACCATTTGCATAGAGTTGTTTCACACAGTCATGGCCTTAGACCCAGAGATGCACAAGTACACAGTGACCAGCTATCCTTTTCACAAAGAATATTGCTCTAAACCTAATCTTGTTTTAGTATTTTTCAAGTTTAAGTGACATTTACCACAAAAATATAGCAAGAAAGGTCTGATTTTCTTCTCTGGTCCACCTGTCAAGGCCAATGTGCCCTCCCCCCCTCCTGGGGGGATGCAGAAAACAGGAAATGAGGTAAGGGTGACTCAGGGGTGACTCCTGCTTAGACACAATGGCAAAGCTGGGCCTCATCCAGCCTGTTGTTGCTCGTGTGAGGAGGATGAGGAAAAAGGGGGAGGGGAGTGTAAGGACAAGGGGTGCTTGTCAGTGGGAGCAAGTAGAGCAGATATGTAACCGCGTATTCCACTGGGACGTATGGGATGGCAACACACAGCTTCCTCCTACAGCAATCTGTGTTAGCGTTCAAAGCAAAATTTGTCAGTCTGCAGCCTGCTGAGCCTCATTCCAGCTGGGCATTGATTTTGCAACCAGGAAGCACCACTCTAGCTGTACTCAAATCTAACTGAAGCTGATAGATGCACGGAGGATGAAGGAGGAGGATTATGGGCGAAAGCTAAAGCTAACGAGTGACCTTCAATCACTCTAGAGCGGGTTTAAAGAGTTTGTCAGCTGGGCAGGTTTGGTGCAGACGAAGACGGGAACAAAGACATGGCTGAAGGGGGAAGGGCGGTCATAGGGGGATGGTGAGGGTGATGCCTGCCCGCCTGGTTGGCTTTTATTCTAGCATCAGTGTGCATCAACGAGCAAATATTCACATGTGCTAAAAAAAATCCTCTTGGTTTTTTTTTGTCAACCGCTAAAATCTATAAATGAGGAAATGATGTCATCATCTGCAAACATTTGACCAGGAATCATAAATACTGCTTTCATTTGATTTTACTGTCACATAAGCGTACATTTATTTTATTATTACTGGGTTCAGAGATGTTCTCCTTCTCTAATCAGTATCAGAAATCCTCTTAAGTATAGCCTTTCAATTCTGGGATGCAAGTGTGTAAATATAAGCTGTACACACATGGCGTTTATTTAGCAGACAGAATGAGAGGAAAGCAGTGTATGCAAGTGCATTTTGACAGGCTGTCAGGAGTCAGTGGGTTAATACAGCTTAGATGTCATGCAAAAAGTCTAGCAAGATGCCAGACGAGGAATTAAGGCACTAAAAGAAGCCAGCCATCATGGTCAAACAGAGGCAGTGCAGCCAAACTTGCGAACCACAGCACATCTACATTACTGTGCCCTAGGAGAGCTGTTAAACTGAAACAAGAGAGAGAACAGGGGGACACAGGGGGAGAAAATGCAATTTCAATAATTGCCAGTACTCAATTTCCATAAAGCATTTTCTCTCTAACTTGACACAAAAGCCTGGGAGAGCCCTGAAAGGTGCTGTGTTTGAGAAAGCTGGTTTGTTAGCAAGGAGGTAGCTGGGGACATTTAATCCAGACAAAGGAGAAGACATAAGGAGATCTGCTCAGCCTAGTATTCCATGAACACACACTTCCTGGAAAAACACTCAATCTTGAAATGAGACCTGACATAACCAAAGACATTTGAAGAGGTAAGTGCTTATTAGGGGTCCAGGAGGTTTAGACCCACTTCATCTATGACTACCGCTACCAAGAACAACCCAATTCTCCCCGAGGCTATTTTTGGGTATTTGGGCGTATCAGTTACCATGTTAGACACTTTTAGGAGCTAAGTGCATTGATTGATTTTTGATAGCCCCTGAGTTGGAGGGGGGAAAGGAAATGAGGAAAAGCTTTTGTGCTCCAATTTTCTAATCTTACCCAGATCCGTAATCTCCCCGCAATCTATATCATTCCATTTTGCTTCATGAATTATAAAACACAATCAATTTCTCTGGATATAAACACACTAAAAAGATTCACGCCTTTATTTCAACCTCTTCATCGGCTGTGAGCTTTATACTTTGTTTCTTTTGCAGGACAACGACTGAAACAAGGATGAACGTAGCAGTAATGCATTTGGTAATGCTAGACAGCAGTTCTGAGAAAGAAAATGTACAATTGACTCATAATTAATCCAAGAAGAACAGGGTGATGTGGCCACAGAGACACTTGAAAGGAAAGGCAGAACAAAGAATTCGCTCTTCTGGGCCGGTGGTTGAATTATCATCTGTCTCTGGTAAAAAAAAAAAAAAAAAATGACAGTCACTCTTGGCTGCCCAGCAAAGGCGTACCGCATGATGGGCAAGGCTTGCTTCCAGCCCACGAACACAGTAACACACACAGCAACAGATACGCACATGTACACACACACACACACCTACACACAAGCAGTCATCTGCTGTCAGTGCTACGAGGCGCATGCTGAGTTCACACACAACAAGGCCAGGATTTCCACAAGAAAATTTTCATACGGGCCATACAGAACCACACTTGCCTTCTTCAAGCATCCCACATTCTTCGATATGAAAACAGGACTAAAGCGCAGTATTTCACTACCTTGCATCAGAGCTTGTTTCACCACCCTGAACTGTTTGACTATCAGCAATAAAGGGATGATCCAGTTATGTACATCTCAGTTTTGCCCAAAAGGAAGTTGGACCGAGTGACGTGACTGCAGCGTCCTTTTTACGTCACAATTCCAGGCACAATCGGCTTCATCGCCTCTCTTCTCTCTGTGGCCAGAGTGGAGCTTTTTTTTTTTTTTTTTTTTGCTTCGCTCTCACAATTGATCATTTTGGTGAGTCATGTCACACTGACTCAAATGCATACCGTATTCCAGCACCGTTTCATTGTGAGTGCAGGGTGAAGACCCAGCCTGGGCTGTGTGCGCATGCAAAGGCTTCCAGGAACCCTGTGCTAATATTGAGAGAGGACTGTCATCTGATGATCCAGCACTCTGTTTATGAGTGCGTTAGACTACAGTATACACAGTCTTCACGCAGCCACAGCACACTTCCTGGAAACGTAACAGTGCATGTGTGTGTGTGTGTGTGTGCATGTGTATCTGCCAGTGTGTGAAATATAGGCGTGGAGAGAGATCGTAGATAAAAAGACAGAAACAGAAAGGTGGAAGTAAGTGCTGATCCACTCCTTGGTTTGCAAATAAGCCTTTCTTGTGCAATGTCGTGCCTTGTTCCCTACAGTGTCGTGCATGAACACACAAACGCAGATTATAACGCACGTTACTAGGATACAGGAGGCTGTTGATGCTTATTATATCCCAACAACAACGCTCTGGAAAGCCAACTTGTGTCATTCAAAAGATCAAGAGTTAACCATCAATGCACGCATGTGCAGCGTGTGAATCTCATGGTCATCGCTCTGAAACTGACGAGGACTTTGTTTACCCAAGATACACCAAAGGTGAAAGCTAAGACTATCAGGCATTTCAAAATAGCACAAAATCTTTACCTGAGTTTCCGTTAGACTCTCGAGTGCTTGCATGACTGACTGTTCGGGTCTTGATGCTTGAGACTGCAGAGCAAATGAAACAACAGCAGTTTTATAGGTTTCAAAGCAACCGTTACCAAAGTAAAGATGGAAAAGAACAAAAAGATGAGCCTTACCATTAATCCTGCTTCGACTGTTGGTACAAGTGTTAACTTGCTCCCATCAGAGATGCCTAGATCCTGGAGTTTGCCTGAACTTAGTCGCCTGCAGAGTGAGACAGAACGAGATAATTAAGACTGTGCTGACAGAATCTTCTTTCTTCAGACACACAAACAACCTTCAGCTGGGAGGGGGGGCAGGCAGACTTCAAAACTAGTTTGGAAAAGAGCCGTGGGTGAAAAGCTTCACGAAAGAGAAGTATTGATTGGGCTGTCATTTTTCAATTTCAAGTATAGCGGAGCTTGACAAGTGCTCACAGTGGATATTTGGCACCACTGCCACTTGCCTAAGTGGAAGTAAGTACAGAGCATAAGCAAAAACTCCACTTAGAACAAACGTGCACAGGACAAGAGAAACGATATGTGACATGAAGGTTGTTTTAAGTTTTAGTTCATTTTGACACTGCATGAAAACTCATTTCTGTGCACATTTCTAAAAATGTTTTCTCTTGCAGATCACTACATGCTACAAAATACAGATCTGGCCTGTTTTCTTCCTACAGAGCTAGCAAAGGATGTTTAAGACAGCCTGCTCCACGGGCATGACCCAAATCTCACCCTGTGCCGCTGAACAAAGGCCATCATCCCTGGCTCACAGTGGGTCTAGGGAGATTAAAACGGGGTATTCGGGGATGATGTCATTTATAGGTTGATAGTGGCTGGGAGGTGGGAGCAGCCCAAAAAAATGCTGATAGTCTCCAGTTTCGTTTTTGAATATTTCATCCCGATCAGGAGCTTTGGGTTTCAGGTAGTTTTAAATAACAAATGGTTGAACAGCCATCTCCCAATCAGCTAGGTCTTCAGACCTAAATGCTGCAGAAACTGGTCAGGCAGTGCCTCACACTAGTAGCATAGCATGAAGAAACGCTTGCATTATTCATCTATAGCCAACATCCATCTTCACATTTACACGGACTAGACAAGAAAACAGATTCGTGCAACAGCAAGGAGAAACCCTGTGCTTCCAGCAGTGCATACGGTGTTTGCTTCATACAGTAAAGCTATTCAATATGTGTTTTTAGAGATATTAATCAAGTCAATTATGCAGACTGCATCTGTGCTCCAGTGACCTGTGCGGTGTTCAAATATATTTTCTTTTAAAGTGTTGTTAAAAACCGTGAAACAAATCACCTGGGTGCCAAAGGGTAACTCAAAAAATCCTTAACAATTTGAGCTCAAACACAGGCTGGTTTACTTTGAATGAAGAATGATTGCTTACGTTTCTTTGTGCAGCAGAGCGAGTCTCTCTTTGGGTACTTTGAGTCTTTGTGAGAGTCTCCTCTTCAGTCCCTCCACGGTCTCCTCCAGGGGCAGGGAGAGCTCGAAGCGAGTGCCGGTGGTGGAGTGGATGTACAGATTCATGGAGGGTTCCGTCGGGACGGCCTCGCAGGACGAAGCCCCGCGACTAGTGCAGCTCCGGGCGCTGGGATGCTGGTCCATTCGATAACCTGTGGTCAGGGAAGGGGACGAGACGAGCAGAGTCGGGAATGGAGAAGGTGAGGAGGATGGTGAAGCAGGTCCTTCGCTTCGACTACCGCCCCTTGCTGTCCCCTTTGCAAATCAAAAGCAGCATTCAGAAAGCTTCCTTTCTCTCGCCCTCCTCCCGGAAAGTCAGAATAAAACAAAGTCCGTCTCCTCTTCAGTCGATTATCACGAGAACATCCGCCCAGGTAATCAGCTAAACCGAAGATTCGCTTGTCTCTTTGTTTGGTCTTTTTTTCTTTGTTGTGCTTTCCAGCTTGTAGGCAAGTCTTCCGAAATGCTACATAGTTGGGCAAATATCAAGAAGAAACGCAAAAAAGAAAATAATACATTTAAAACGCAAGAGACGACTTTACGCAGAGGTTACCTTTAAAAAATGTGCGTAAAGTCTAATACAAAAAAAATCCGTGTAAATTTACCACGAGTTTTTTTTTTTTTTTTTTTCACAGAGCACACGGTCCGGAGCCGCAAGTCTCGTTCGGTTAGCCGTGAGAGGCTCTCTGCTGCGCTCTCACACCGACAGCAGCCCCAGTGAAATATCGACAATGCACATTGTCACAAAGTATTCCACTTCCACCATCGATAAAATACGCCCACAGCCCCCGGATCAGCTCGGCCAATCACAGCAGCGCTCGCTCAGGATGCCGCTGGCGTCAGCCAATGGGAGGACGAGCTTCACACTCACGTGGAGGGCAGACGAGTTTAGGCCATTCATAATAAATTACAGCACAGAACAAAGTGTAAGCCCACACTACAGTAGCCTAGAGCAGCGGTCCCTGCTCTGATGTCCGTCAGCTTTTACAGGACACGAGAGGATTACCATAAGAGTGACTAATAGTTTATTTTTCCTACCAAAACCATAAGAATTGTTTGTTTTTTCATTAGTCAAGTCGAATAATTAGGCTACGAACACTCCGCTTTTCCAGTTTTTATTTCATTTACATTCTGTCATCTTTGCACTAATTGGGTCATCCGTCATAAGACTGCTGAGTTGCAAAAGCTCAGAGCAGCATCGGTCCTTAAAATAACCACCACGCATCCTTCTATACATTCTGCTGCATCACACGTTAAAGACCGGATTTAGATCCCGTGACTGGTCGGATTTCTCCACGCCAGCACCAAAACCACACAACTTGCCGCGTGAGACATGGTCTATTGTTATTTTTTAAATGATGTGTAAATACATTCAGATAAACTACTTCCTCCTAAGCGAAGCAAGCAGAAGCCATGAACGTGATCGCGAGCAATATGCAAAACACACATCACTATTCCCTTAAGGAAGAAGAGTACCAGATAACTTGTTCCAGTAAAGGGAACCCGGAATGAGAAAGCCCGTTTGCACACGAATCTGCAGCAGTGGAGCGCAGCTTTGAATAAGGCATATAGATGAATACTGTGGCAACTCAGGAATATATATATATATATATATATATATATATATATATATATATATATATATATATATATATATATAGTTTTATTTTATGGAGACATCTGCTGCCTTCACAGAGGACGTTGTTCTGGCTTCTCTACAGACCTCAGAGATGTGATATAAAGTCAGATACTTAGTCGCCACCTAGTGGCTGGAGAACGACCTTTCCCAAAACCTGTGTTTGTTGAATCTAATTCTTCTGATATTTATATTAATTTTAACTTTGTGTGATTATTTAGAGATTAATTTGGTTTTTAATGCTTCAGGCACAAATTATAAATGTATTTAAGTACCAGGCTTGGCTATTGCTGTATAGAATAAAGAGACTTAAAACATATTCTCCCAAACATAACTCATAACTCTAGGAGTTGGAATAAACTATTAAGCTAAAGTATGTCCTGACTATTTGCCACCGTGACTGATGCTGAAATTCTTCACTAACAAACCTTGATAAAATAGTTAATTGACACCGACGTGATAATTAAATTAAAAATGGTTTTTAAAAAAAGCACACTTACCAATTAAAGTAGCGAAAACTGCCAAGCTTCGCGGTGTAGAGTGTTGTGTTTCAGTTTGTTCCCCCAGTTTTGGCATGTAAAGTAAACCCAGGTGGCGATAAAAATATTAATCCAAACAATAGAAAACCCGCAGCGGCTTCACGGTATGGTCTTTAATGGGCTCGTGCCTGTTCAGCGCGCGACTTTACGCCCCGCGTGCCGGTCAGGTCTGACCAATAGCAGCCGTTTGTCCCAATGCGTCCGGCTGTTCTGGGTACGCCGGCGTGTTTCTCGGTGATAATAGCGTCTCTGGGAAGGTGAGACTCATCTTTAACAGGCTCCTCTCGGATATGGGTGGAGAGTGGTGTTCTTGTTGTGTCAACATATGATTTAAGGTGGATTTGCTTCGTCGCTGCCGCTTCTCATGTCCTGCGTTTGTGGGGAGGAATGCGGCGCCCACGCAGAACCGTGGCAGATTAACATATCCACGTGCGTAAAAGCTGTAATTCTCTGGGAGGCCGAGGCGGCTCTTAAACGTGTCTTTCAGAATAAACTAAAAATATACAGATAGAAGCCTACCACCTTAACGGAAAAGTCAATGAAAAGAGCGCTTACTGTCAGGGGTGTTGCCAGTCTGATGACATCAAAATGTCACCTGGCAACGGGGCAGGTAAACAGGCTCCCTGGATACTGGCGCAGTCCCCAAGTAAACATGAAAACTCTGCTGGCACCTTTAGGGAAATTCAGAGGAAGTGATGCTCTAAACGTTTCCTGAGTGTTGTTTATCAAACAAACAAACAATAACATTAATAAATAACGATTTAAATTTATGTTTTCTCATTTTGAATCAGTCGATCAGAGGTTTAATTTAGATTTTCTGTTGATGAGATACTAATTGACGGGTCCAATTAAGGATTTCTCAAAGTTCTTTAAACCTCTTTATAGAGATTCTCGGAAAAACAGTAAAAAGTTACTACGTTAATCATCTTCATGGTATAATAGCTACAGTGCATACTTAAATAAGGTCAAGATTAAGATGTGCTCTGTAACTGTAAAGGATTTATCTTTTCATGATTTTCCACACATACACTGTCCACTTTATCCAGTACAAGTGTTCAATCTCCCATTAAAACAAATAGCAAGTCAACCAGTCACATGGCATTTATACTTATACTTTAGTTTTATGTCCATAGCGAAGTCTAGCTGCTTAAGTTTAAACCTATTATTATGAGGAAGAGAAAGTATTTAAGTGACATGGCTGTTGGTGTCATCTCTAATGTTTACAGAAAATGGTCTGAAATGTTACAGTGAGCAGCAGCTGCCTGAATAAAACAATAAGTTAACTGCGCTTGAACTTCTTTCTTGAGTTAGAGGACTCCAACATGCTTTGCACCTTTCACACTGTGATGATGATGAGCCACAATGTAGCCACAGCTGCCCTGAGGCAGACTGAAAGAAGCTAGGCTGCCGTATGGCGCTACAAATCCCTCCAACCACCACCAGCAGGGTCCAAAATGATCAATTGTGAGTGTTGTGTTTAGGTCAAAGGTCAGACTGGTTCTAGATAACAGAAAGGCAACAGTAGCTCAAAGTACCACTGGTTCCAGCCAAATTCTGCAGAACACTATCAAGACAATGCAATCTCTGAACCACAACGTGTGGAACAATGAGCAGAGTGGACCACAGTAGCACACCATGTTCTGCTCAACTAAGAACAGGAGACTGAGGCCACAGTTCAAACAGGGTCAGCCGACCTGGACCAGAGACTGGAACATGCTTCCTGGTCTGATGAGCCTGGATTTCAGCTTCAACGGTTTAATGGCCATGCCAAAATTTATAACGATGTAAAAGCATCACGGTTGAAAACTACTGCTGGTGGTGTAATGGTGATGAAGGAGAATCTCCTGGCCCACTCTGGGCCCCAGCATGGCTTAAATACCACAGCGTACCTGAGTATTGATCAATATGGACCAGAACCTTTGAGCAATGTTTCCATCATCTGGTTGAATCAATGACACAGAGAGTTAAAGTAGATCTGAAGGCAAAGGGGGTCCGACCCAACACTAGCAAGTTATACAGGGACCAACAAGTCTGAGTATCTTAGTATCGTAGTACTTTTGTATAAAGCAGCCTGTTGACATAAGGAAGATAGGACTTATCTCTATGTTGTGGTTCAGACACTTCATACAATTGATAATCACCATACCAGGGTTCACCGGGGTTCACCTCAAGGGCGAGGGATCCATTGTGTTGTGCAATTTGTGATAAAAAGTAAAACATTTAACTTTGCCTTCAGAAAAAGCCAAGAAGGAAGCAGCTAAGAACTTTTCCTTCCTTGCTGCCTGAGGCTCAAGCCCAGCACGAACTGTCTGTCTGATAGCACAGACACACTCCTCCCATCTTTGCAGGGGACACTATGCCTCACTGGCGTGTTATCTCAGTGCCTGAGAACTGAATCACCCGTGTGTGTGTGTGTGTGTGTGTGTGTGTGTGTGTGTGTGTGTGTGTGTGTGTGTGTTCCAATGAAACACTGGCGTTATCTCAGAGAAGCTACATGAACAAACAAAGGTGGCTGTCTCTCTGTCGCCCCAGCGACTCTGCTGTCCTTATCTGTCTCCATCTTTTTCGTCCCCTCTGGAAGACGCTGAATCACAGGAAGAAAAGTGAAAAGTGCTGGTCAGGTTCCCACTTGAAACACAAGCCTCGGTTTGAGTCAGGCGTTGCATTTCATAGCTTGTTTTGATGCCGGTCATGCTGGCAGGATAGGGTCTGTGTGTGCAAGATCTTTAGTGTGAAGAAGCTGCAAATTGGCACTGATGTCTGTTACTCCTGCAGCATGAGAGTCAAGCTCTTCTTTTCAGGGATGGCGTTACTTGGCTTGTCGCAGGTGTGGCTGTCAACACAGCTCAGGTAATATAGAACTCTCTGACCTGCTTCGCCCAGATTAGAGCTTGTTTTTGAGTGATATGACAAGACGTTGGACAAATCTAGGTCTTTGTCTTACAAATACCCAAGTCCTCATTCAACTACAGGGTTAGGTTTCTCTGGTGTTCTCAGCATATCATTTGTTTTAATATATATTAATGCAGGATGCTGCCCCATTCTGTCCCTGCTAACGTGACAAATTGCGATGTGGTTAAGAACAAAAAGCAGCATTGATGCTCAAATTTGTAATGATGCAGTCTAGAAGTGTTTAAATGTGCAGCATGCAGCACCAGGATGCACATGGCCAAGCACAAGATGAAGGAGGCAGGAACAACCCCTACGTGCAACTATTTCTACGATAATGCATCACACATTCTTCTAAGAAAAGTTTATTGACAGAGGAGGAAGGCCATGTGGGCGGGTCGTAAACGTTTCACACACAGAGCATCACATTTGGTCGGACAGAGCGGCGTGCGTGGGCTGGATTGTGCACATACCTGTCCGCGGTTTTGCGTGCATGCATTGCTGTGTGGGACGCTGAGTGTGTGGGACATGTGTGGGCGTGTGAGTGTGTGTGTGGGTGAGAAGCATTCCTATCCATCAAAGTCACCCGTGGGCCGCCCAGTGCCTCGGGAGAAAAATGAACCATGCCCAGCACACTCAGCCTGCTGCTGTTGTATTACCCCTGCCACAATGTCCTCCTGATTCACCCAGAGTGGCTGTGAGTGGGACGGACACACCTCGCTAACTCACAGCCCCGACGCGGTAATCTGACCCACGCACTAGGGATGCTTGCTTACCTTGCATGCTGATACAGATGATTAAAAAATGGGTCACACAGTGAGTGTTGGTATGTGATAAATCGTTTCATAAGAACCACATTTTATTGTGGTAATTAAAACAAATGATAACATTTTTTGGACATTAGTGGCACACTATTTGATTCATAATCATCAGAAGTAAGTAAGTAAGTAAGTAAGTAAAGTTTATTTATAGAGCGCCTTTCACAGATATAAATCACAAAGCGCTGTACAACATGAGTAAAATCAGGGCAAATACCTCAAACCAATAAAAACATCATAAAAACAATAGCAGTGACAACAAAAGTAACCAAAACCAGGAGTAAAAACCAAGTCAAGGTGTGAAGAAGAACAAAGTCATCTTTTAGAATATTTAGCGGGGGAAAGCCTGGATGAAAAGGTGAGTTTTAAGATGTTTTTTGAAGACCTCTACAGATTTCAAGAGACGGAGGTTTGAAGGTAATCTGTTCCAAAGTCTGGGGGCAATAGACTGAAATGCCCTGTCCCCTTTGGTTTTTAGTCTGGCTCGAGGAACAGCCAGGAGGTTTTCAGATGTGGATCGGAGGTTCCATGAAGTGATGTGTGGGGATAAAAGCTCAGATAGGTAGCTTGGAGCCTGGTTGTTAAGAGCTCTATAGGTCAGCACTAAAACTTTAAACTGTATTCTATATTCTACCGGGAGCCAGTGGAGGGACTGTAAAACTGGAGTGATGTGAGCTCGTCTGCTGGATTAGGTTAGGAGTCTGGCTGCTGCATTTTGGATGGCTTGAAGGCGTGAGAGGGAGGTTTTGCTGAGACCAGTAAAAAGAGCGTTACAGTAGTCTAAGCGTGATGACACAAAGGCATGGATGATTTTTTCCAGATCTGCAGGGGATCGAAGGGAAGGGATGGATGTTATGCTAGAGATCTGCTTATCTTTTTTGGGGAAGTTTATGTTTTCTGACCTTATAGAGATGTTTTAGTTGTTTTTAGACTGTTTCTCTATAAAAGTACTACATATTTCCTATCTCACCCAACTTCCTCAATGGCCTTAGTTTGGAAAACTAGAATCAACAGCTATAGGACTGATTGGCTAACTGCCAATCTGAGAGCAGCCCAGACCAAAGTGTATTTTTCCTGCCTGAATTTTACAACAGTTCTCACATTATTATTATCTAAACGTTTACATCCCCATCAAACTGACCTGCTTTACAACAGCAACACTCCACTCAGGGTTTCACTGTTGGATGCAACTTCTTTACATGTGCAGGGGCGATTCAGTAAGCCATCTTTAACTGGTTAGAATAATTGTTTGTTAAAGATTCAATAGCAATTTTTTTTCATGTCTCCTAACAATGTTCTAACATAGTATATCTATGTATGTGGAGATGAAAAAATGTAATAAAGTGGTTCTCTCACATTTGTCGAAAAACCTACCCCAATAAAACATTTCAGACTGAAAGAAACTAGTGGATTATCTGTTTGTCAGGCTTGCCAAACCACCGCACTTTCCTCGGTCCTCCATTCATTACACACTAGTGTATTTAGCAACAGAGCACCGCTGGTGTGAAAGGTTCTCCGCTCGATAATACGGAGAAACAGCTGGCTGCTACCACCTCAAATTTAGGACCAGCTACCAGAGTCCAAAAAAGAAAATCACCATTTGAAGTCACGGACAACAAAAGGCATTTGGACCTAGAAAATGGTGACTGGTGTTAAGCGCTATCTCGTTCCCTTCTTCAACGTGGGTCTCCAGTCCCAGCAGAATAGGGCTATTCAATTCCAGGCTTCGAGGGCCGGTGTCCAGCACGTTTT